TTTGGCGCGCGGCCGTTGGACGCCTCAGGGGGCAGCGCCCGTGTTGACGTTGATAAAATCAGGCTGCGGCTGCGCGTGCTGACACTGATGTTTAATCACGGATGATTACATTTTATGAATGCAGTGTTACCATTCTTAATCACCTTTGAGTGTTAGGAATATTCAATTAATACTTAGAATTATTTCAGATTTGCAGGAATTAAGAGAGACAACGCTTTTGTGGAAGACGCGCCTTGCCAGCGCAGGTTTTTGGCTGCAGGAGGTTTTGTGCTCTTTTTGCCCTGCCGTTCTGTGAAATAGCCATCGAAGGGATTAGAGTCACCTTCTTCGGGAGATGGTTCCATATTTCATTCACTGTTCCTGCTACCTCATATTCCCAGACTTCACACGCGGGCACGGCCAGCGCGTGAGGTACTCTCCTGCGCCCAAAGAAGGACAATCTGTATCGTTTCGTTTCTTCCAGGGAGTTTTTATCTTCTGTCCACATGATAGGTTCTTTTCCCTTGGTTGCCATTTTGACAAACGATGTCATTTCATACATTTTCTTTTAAATCAGTATCACTTCCTAACTGGCACATTTAAAACTACAGAAATTATTTGTTGTGTTTGTAACAGAACCTGTCTCTGGCAAAAATCTCAAGCTGTAGTAACTAGGAAACATTTAAAACGTGGTTAAGCTGTATAACATGCTTCCCGAAATACCACATTATCAGTAAGAACAGAGATAGCTTGTTTTCTTCAGACTCAGATTTATTCTCCACAGAGTTTCTTTCCTTCATTAGGGTCCCTTTATCAGGCTAGTTTTATAAACTACCTGAACTGAAGCGTGATGCGACCAGTACGTTACCAGATGTGAGATCCTGATTGCGGCTTTGATAGTATTTACACTGAAGAAAAGGCTCAGAGCAACAACATAGGATCTATCCACCAACTTGGCGTGAGAGGTATGGGCTGCGTTGAGCGGCCACCGCGCAGGTTGTAGGCAGTGTACAGCTTCGAGGATAGCCCAGGAGGCAGACAGACCACAGGCTTCCTAAGAGGCCAATCTATGTTACAATTTTCACTGCAGCATATGACCGGAGGCGAATAAATTATGTCCATTAAATAACTGAGTTCACTTCTCTTTGGGCAGCAAGTAAGGCTACGCTTTGGAAGAGTTCTGTTTCTTGATGCTGGTATAGATAAAAACAAAAGCTGAACTTCAGGCTTTTGATTTAAAAAAGAGAGGTGAGGTAGATAAGACAAATACCAGCAGCAGCTCTTAGCAAAATAATGGGATATTGTGAAATCTTGTGTTTGGTGTCTCTGAACATCAAGTCTTATCCAGTGATGCAGGCTTTCAGAAAGCATTTAACTGCATAAGAAAGGGACTGTAGGACTCCAATCTTCATATTGTGATAGGAAAACAAATATTAGAGCATTCCACTATTTTCTACCTTTCACATATTTTTTCAGATCAGTTAATTGTCTGAATTGGTGGTGGCATTCAAGAAATTCAGACAGCTGGTCTAGGTGGGACTGTGGGTCGCTGAAGTCTTGAAGGAAGCGCAGGAAAATGGGTTTGTACCGGCTGCCTAAAATGTGAAAAACACATTGTGTGATGTATTTCAAGACTTGACACAACTGGTTACAGTTGTAAAGTCCATCTTGCCAACATATTTCTAACCTGGTGCTTAACCACCCATTTGCAAACATTGTACACACACACACCCACACACCACTTTGGTAGCATTTACATATCCCGTTATGCTGGTTTCTATGCAAGCAGTAAAACAGCTTTTCTCCTTCATGCATTTAATCCATTATAAATAGAAAATACGGGCAAAAGAAAATCTACTTGATTGCTTGGAGAAGACCTGCCATTTCTAAAGCAGGACTGGACCAGCTTCCCTGCAGTTGCATACATACTCACTGGAAACCTTGCTGTTTTATCTCATGATGCTGCATGAAAAAAGCCCACTGAGCAGGACATAAGACTTCAGGCACCTTGCTTATAGTGGTACAGTAATGCACACACAGCAAACATTTAAGTAAAGAAGCATTTAAAAACTACGAACCTTGGACTAGGAAAATGTGATATGGTAAAAAAATCAGGACTTGATGTGGTAGGCTGAAAAAGGTATCACAGAAAAGCAAGTTAACATAGAACACACTTCAGACTGTGGCTACTTATTCAGTGTTAGTTGATTAATGAAACATATAGACTAAATAATATAAAAATTTCTTACGGTCAGTGTTTTACAACAAATCAAACCCAAAACTTATGCTCATGGGGATGTGCGTGTGCTAATTAATGCAATGTTGTTCGCCATCAAAGCATAATATTTAGTCAATTATAGGGAATACAGGCGGTGGAAAACAAAGAGGCCTGGAGGAGGTCTGGATGCAAGTACAATTTGTGAAGCTTCAGGCAGAACTGGGGGTCTGATCAGGAAATCTGGAATTCTAGGTTCTGTTCTCTTATCCATCAGATGTTTGGAAGGCCAGTAGATAAACCACCTAACCTCTCCATGCTTCAGTTTTCCATTGAAAGTAAAATAAGGTAACATTTGTGTGCCTAAGAGCACAACACGAGGATGTCTGAGAAATAAGCACTTTTGCAAGGCTCCCTATAAGCTGTTCTTATTAAATATTCTAATTAAATGTTCACATTTCTACTTTTTGGAAATACTCTGTAATTTGAAAATCCTTAAGCTAACGGTATCTCAGAGCTTACCTTGACTTCCTGTGACATTCTTCATAATTTTTTTTTTCAAACATTTTTGTTTTGTTTTATCAGAACTAGATCCATGTATACAGAGGCAGAGTTCAGGTACAAACTTGCTTCCGCTGCTCTGCTGAGTAGGAGTCTGTTCCATCCCATAATACCCAAAGCCCGTCCACCCAAACAGAAGTCTTGTCTAGCACATTATAAATTCTTTTAAATACTCCGATGGCATCAACGTATCAAAAAATCACAAAGTCATCAGTAACTACATTAGAGAAAAGACTATAATTTGGAATACTCAACATGAAATAACGCAAATATGTATCTATCTTACCTCATTATTTCTTGTATTCTGAATTGTTGTATTATTTTGTTTTGGTTGCTGCACATTGTTATCCCTGAAATAAAATTCATGTCATCATGAAAATCACCATTTGGATTAATTACATTGAGGGAAGCAATGCATTTCAAGGGACTAGGCTACAGCTCAAAGATCCGGACTCTGACTTCCCTAATTTCTGGCCTTGGCAAATACTTTCACTGTTCTGTGCCCCTGTGTCCATGCAATGCAGTTATGAAAAACAATTAGGAAAGTGCAATATATTTTAGGAAAAAGAAAAACACTTGAGAGCTCATAGCTGGAGCATCTGGATTAACACTATTACCTACATTACTAGCTGCAAGGCAGTCTTGTAGTAGGTACAATAGTCTTTGAATATATAACGTTTCTACTTGCCTTCCTGAGTTAATTTGGAGCATGCTCTCAAGTGCTGAAATACCCATTTGTAATTAAGCAATACCTGTGTTGTCTTCTACTTTTCTTGCAAAATCTTCTTTTTATTGCATCCCGCTTAATGACTGCTATCACAAGAACAATCAATATTGGCAACACAAGGAAAAAAAACACAAGCAGGCCATCTCGAAGTGATGTATCTAGAAAAAAATAATTGAAATCACGTGAAATAATCTTCAGTCCATGACTGAGTGTTCCATGAAGTAGAAAAACAGCCCCCCCCCCCCAAAAAAAAAAAAAAAAAAAGAGAGAGTTAAAAAAAACCCTGTATAGTAGGTTATTTTATCAGGCACTGTAGGCAGAATAAAAGACAGTTTCAGTATCCTACCGATGTGAGCTGGACCACTGTCGACACTGCCACCATAGCCTGAGCGGTTGCAAAAAGGAGGTGCCCATCCATAATTGCAATGGCAGTTCCCATTGTTGTTACACACCTGCAGTCAATACAACACAGAATAGCCAAACGAACAACACCTTTTTGAAAGGCCACTTTCAATCTCCAATGTATCCTTGGAGTTCCACATTAAGAATTGCATGTGGAAACAAGAAAGGACACAGAGAAAGGAGCACTGTTTGGGAATAAGCTCTTGCCCTCCATAACATCCTCAAGCACCATGAGTGATAGTGATAGGGATAGCCCAAGACCATAGCATTTAATACTTTTTTGTTATTTGCCTGCAGTAGAGTACAGTTCAAATAAAAGCTTCTCAGTTTTACAGCCTCTGGACCCCATTTTAATTTTTGACAGATAAATATAAGTCAGGAATCATTAGACTGTCCTTCTCAAAAGAGTATTTTCCTCTTACAGTTGGACGACTCAGAAATATAAGATTCTTTTGGGAAATTAAAAAGAAATTGTCTTTCAATATTAGTGCTAAGAGGTTTACAGTATATTAGCAACATGAATTACAGATAAAAAAGTAGACTTGATTTTTAATAAAGATCCAAAAAAAGCCAAGCCACCTGCCTGGTCATTGGTTTCATGCAGGGATTTTGCACCTATCTCTGTCTTTCACAAACAAGGCATGAGAACACCATCTACTCACCCCATTATTATTACACTTCTGCTTTACATCACAGCTGTAGCCCAGGTAACTTGCATTAACACACTCAAAATTGACACAGGCCTGGAAAAAGTGTTCAGTATCTTTAAAGACAAAACTTCAAAAAAGGTATGCTTTCATGAATACGCTATGACTTAAATGGCTTAAAGAAAACAGGCTGATAGAACATTCAGCGTTTCACAACTTTACAGCTGTATTTGTCTTCAGTTCTCTCAATGCATTTTGATAGAAATAATCTGAGTAACTGATAATGTAACCTAAGTTTTTACAGAGCTAAATTAATTTTGTGTGTGTGTGTGCATAGCTGAAAAAGAAGAGTTTTTATTATATTACTGCATATATATGAGAGAAAAGAAATGGTGATTCCTAACACTTTCTCTCTCAAGTAAATACAAGTAAAATTTGAAGGCGCAAAACAAAGGCCTTTCTGTAGCAGAAGTGCCAAAGGCTAATACAATTACTATCCTTACAAGGCAGGTATTTTGCATTTTTAGCCTACATTATTATGGGAAAATTTACAATGAAGTTTAACATTTAGAAAGTTATGGAGACCCTTCCAGTTGTTGGAACATATTCTGTAATGCTGCTGTTATTTTTCTTACCTTCCTTTCTCCGCAGGCTGTTCCCTCATGAACTTGAGCAGGATCAGGTACATCTGACCCTAAGTCAAAGTCAGAAGACCAGCACAGAACCCCAGATGCATTGTTGACAACACTCCAAACAGGAAGATTTTGAAGACTAACAGAAGTGCACTGGAGCTTGCCACATAGACTATGCCTGTAATGAACAAATGACACTCAGAGAAAAGGTGACAGAAAGAAACAGCATCAGGGCAAACACACTGTTCAGTAGAACTTTTCAGCTTGCGCTCCAAGCAAATGTTCTTCTCTTAAATCTCATGCTCTTAGGAGTTTGTAACAAGATAAATTTTTCACATTGAAAAACATAGGGTTAGCTTCTATTTGCTGGTGACTTACTGAACAGGACATTTCTTGTATACTCCACCTCTCATTCCACAGTTTCCAAACCTATCTCCTTTAATATTGGCTTTTTCAAAGCACACGTCAGGCGCTTTTCGTGCCCCTGTATGAATAATAGCAAATGTTAACAAGCTATTACACTCTCTTAGAGATATAAGAAAGAAAAGTAAAAATCTGAAATGTCTATTAGGAGTCTTTTAATATAACATTTTAAAAATACCTTTTCCATATATAGATTCACATTGTGAATCAAAACTTTGGCATACTCCATAGTAGCAATATTCTTTCTTGCTGTTACATGGGTAACCATTCATGATATAAACATCATCTGGACAGTAGGCATAGCTTCCATTGCAGTATTCAGGTAGATCACAGAAATCCATTTTTGACCTGCATTCTGCTCCTGACACTTTAAACTAGAAACAGAGACTTTTATTTTGCATCAGCAGAAATTCTAACATGAAACAACGACAACTGGCAAGCCTTTACGATTTTAAGGAAGACAAAATAGTTCTTCAGATCAGTACCCAATAAACGTCCAAAATTTCCCTCAGTTTCATGTGGTGTGTGTATAAATCTTATCAGTGGAGCCTGCACAGGACTAGGGTGGATTGTATAAGCACACAAACAAGCACAAATTAAAAAGCAGTCAATTATTATAGACTGTGGAGAAGCTTGGGCTTGCATAATGGAGATTACTGCCATTGAATCACCTAACTAGCCTTGCCTCCTACCAGGGATGACACTAAGATGACATTTGATTTCTAAGCCACTGGCCAAGAGTCATCAGACCCAAATTCTCTGCTTACATGCTCTCTACCGTGGAGTGTAGTTTTGACAATGTGAAAATATGTCAAGTGATACTACGATAAATAACTTCATAAACACAAAAAATTAAACAAAATGTTTTAAAAACATTTCACAATATTGTTTTATGTTTTAAAAAAAAACATAAACAAAAATTACTAGTAATTATCTTAATACAACACAGCCTACCTTGCAATTTTCACAGCACAGCCCTTGAGTACATTGTGATCCAGATGTGAGTTTGCAGGTTGCAGCATCACAGCAAGGATTTGTACATTCCTGCAGCACAGCCACAAACAAGGGGATACTTTTACTTCACTATACAGCTAAGGAATGGGGAAGTATGTGGTCAAACTAAGTGCATGGGCAAACCAAACATGAAATACACCTTCTGTCTTTCACGTTCTGAGGCTGATACACTTCTGTCCTAACAGAGACCAGCATACAGTTTGGCTGCGTTTTCTTACTACAAGTCATCAAGAAAACTTCTATTTTGATGGCTGCGACACAGGGATTTAGGAGAAAATTACATTCTAAATGGACACTAAAAGAAGCAGAAACTCTTTGATTTTTAAGAAACACTTCCTATCACCCCTCTCATCTTATTTTTCCTCCACGTTAATAGTTTGATAAAGAAAAATGTTACTATCTTTTCATGAGTTAGAAGATCATCTATACAATGGAACCTGGGTTTGCTGACAGCCTTTTGATTTGCTGGTGGTCTGAGAAACTTGTATTTCCTAAAGAATGAGTCAAATATCCCATTCTTTGAGAGGGAGACGTTGTGACAACGTGAATATGACTAACAAAGATAGTTTTGTTGTGAGCTACGTTCAAGGGTTACAGTTAGGACTCCAGTAAGTGGAAGGTAGTTTAATAGTCTCTTCTATATAACAGATATATGTTGTAAAAGCCAGCACAAAAAACAAAGGCATTTCCACACTTTTTGCACTGAAATACACTGCTTACTCAGGCATTGAGTCAAAGTTCTGTGAAGTCCAGCAGCCCTTAGCTGAGTTCACATCAAAATCAAATATGATTTCAGGCTTTTTCTAAAATTTATCTTCATACTGTTTGTAACAATGTAAACTTACTAAGAAAATTTCCCAGATATAAATGGAAGTCAGATGTACCAAAAGGCCTGGACAAGAATAAGTGTCCCGCTGAATTTCATTGAAATACCTGTGGTTTTCCACAGTCGCATTCTTCATTGCTGTCCACCACATTATTACCACAGACAGGTTCTTTGTAAACACTATTTGCTTTGGGAGGATTTCTGAGGCAGTTTCCTCCTCCATTTAGAATAAGATTCTCAAAATCATCCGCACTACAGCTGCTGAAATTCCTGGATCCACTGAAAAACATGATGTTATTTTTATGTAAATATTTTGCTTATAAAAAGCAACACAACTCAAACCGTTTAATATCATTCAATCTATTACAAATACTATGTTTTGTAATGTTAGGAGATCATGAGATAGTTCATTTTTACTTCAGCTTGTAGTAGAGTATGGCACTCCTAGAAGTTAACAGATACTGTATATAACGAACGTAGAGATACTTTCAGAAGCCAAAGAGACCATTGGAATATCTATTCTGATGTCCTACTTGAAAAAGGCCTCAGAAATTCCTCATCTGTACTGAGTCCCAAAATGTGTGATTAAAATGTATTTTTTCAGAAAAACAATCACCTTAATTTGGAATCCGTAAGAACTCAGGAATGCATCTTCCCACAACAGTTTGGCCCAGCATTCAATTACCTTGATTTATTAATACAAGTGTGGATAGATAAAATAATCTGATCTTTTTCTCTTAGATAAAGGGAAGCCAAAGAAGAAATGAACCAAAGGAAAAAAAGGCTGAGAGGTTTTGTTTAAATTAATGGTTAAGGGAATCCCTGGAAGGACACATGTTTGCACAAATCCAGTGAGTATACATAGAGCATTCTCAGCAGGGTAAAAAAACAGCAATACACTACTAACATTAAAAAAAAAAAATCCAAGTAAGCTTTTCCAAATGCTACAAATAAAAGAATCACCGGATCAGAAAACAGGTAACGTTTCAAACATATTAAAATGATGTCGTGTCCTAAGTAAGCCAGTTCACCTCTGTGATTAATCTTCTCAAACGAACTCTCCATTCACAAAAGTTCTTTAAGATTTATGAAAACTTTACAGTTCATGAGGCCTAATCATTGCCAAATAGCAATGATTAAAATAAAATAAATGGAAATCTTACTTATCTGTGCTGTACATAATGTAGGATGCAGGACATCTTTTATCATCGTGTTTCATTCCGAGATTATGGCCCAATTCATGTGCAACTACTGTAGCATGGCGTAACACATTGTTATGATTAAACTAATAAAGAGAATCAGTGTTAAAAATTATTTATGAAACTAACAGAATCACTATGTTTCTACCTACTGATTTATGCAAGCCACAAATCTTGCAAAAGCTATGAAGACAGAATCTAGTATTGCAAAGAAAGAAGCAGGAAGACCACAGAATTTGTCACTACCTTTTTTCAGGAAGGGTCAGAGTCTGCCACTCTTTCTGTTCTTTCTGTCAGGATTATAATCTGAATACAATAGGTAATCAGTAATATTATTGATTTTAATGGAGTCTTCAAAGACAAACATATTGTTAAACATAAAGAATAGAACCTGGCTCTGAGATTGTTCATGATGTTATGGCATCCATTTGATAAAGACAGGTACCTCAGGAGATATTGGTTCTGCCCTCAAGGCTGAAGGAGAGAAAAAGTAGTTTCTGGCTAATTTTGCCAAATTTAGATTTTTTTCCCCATTCACAGGCATGTTGTGGAGAATTCTGGGTGCTTAAGAATATAGCACATTATGTTCAGCCTCTATTCACGTAAAGAGACAAAAAATATATGTTATGTTGTGGCAGCATTCCCATCCCAGAAATACTGTGCTTATGAACCTTAAAGTTATGAAGAATGGCTTTTCTGATACAACCTTAAGCTAAATTAACTATGAAAAGGTGATCAAAGAATGATTTCAGGACTAAATTAGCCAAGCAGACTGGAATGTGGAGAACAGAGAAACTGAGAAATACGTTTATTTTATATGTTAGTACAATCATACGTAAAAATCTTTACATAGGAAACCCAACGAAAGAAACCGTACCATCCCAAGCCCAGTCTCTAAACCGTGGGTGACTTGGCCAAAGAGGTCATCAAAGTGTACGTTATTTATTAGCGTGTTCCAAAGGAACCTCTGTCATAGCAACACCAGCAGTGGCAATAGCAGTAGCTACGACTTTGGGTTGTGTGAATGCATAGAAGAAACCATTCAGCTGTTGTGAGATAACACTCTGTCTTGCTAGCAGCACATCTAAAATAATTTAGCTACACCTGTGTAGCTTCTTCCATTAATCACAAAGTTATTTACTTACAGTGCTGATTGACCCTCCCTGGACTTGTGAACAGATGGTACCTACAAAAGCCATTCCAATGGCTCCATCATAAGAGTTTCTCCCTCTGCAACAAAAGCAGTTTGAAGGTGTTATTGAAATAGGACCTGAAAGTTGGTGATTTCTGCTGAGAAACACACAAATACTGCAAGATAGAATTTGCTCTTCCCAGAGTCAAGAAGAAATTTGCCACTATATCAGGTTGTCACTGTTTTTAATCACGAACAACTGAATAACACTGCTTGAAAGTAATGACCACATAAGTCAGTGAGTTGACTGAGAATAAGGAATTCATTCTAAAATAGTTTCTTGAGGTTTTTTCTGGGTTAAAACTGTTTGGAAGTTGAGTGAACTTTGCTCCAGTTATATTTTCATTCATATACAAGAACAAAATCGTATACATAAACAACACTGGCAGAGTGCCTAGTTTTTGTACTGAACCAAAACTTACATTATGAGATGGCTAACGTCATTTCTTGATCGTTTAAGAAGATCTTTTTGTCTCCAAGAAACAAATCTACTCAGTACATCTCCAGCTGAGCCATCCATTACAGATATGTGGTTTATATCTGACCAGATCTCTAATCCAACCAAAACAATCTGGATGTTTAAAGCTCTATACATCTGAAAATACACAATGATAATTACTGTCCGACAGTGTGGTTCAACAGCTCTACTGCTGAATAAACATTAGGCTGAACATAACAAGGGAAGCATAAGTTTAGTTTATTTTAATAATTAACACTTAGTTTTATATGAGGAAAGAATATGTGACTGAAGGCCATCTACATCATAGAGGTACTTAAACATAACTTTCAGATATGAGACGTTGGAACAACCACATTCATTCATTTCCTTAGCTCACTGCCTTGAGGAGGAATTGGGAAGAGATGATCAGAGAACCTACGGAATTCTTCACAGCTCTGACATTTTGCTTAATAAAAAGCAAACTACAAACAAGAGAAAGACTCTTCTTGGAAATATAAAATGTACTGGAGACATCAGGTTCCTGGAGCACACAGAATCTTGCATCTTTCCCCTTGCTTGCATCTCTGCAAGACTTGTGCATAGATTCATGACATGCTTTAACTATATTAAACGTTGATAAGTAGCTATCAAATGCAGTTTCAGAACATAATTGTGCAATTTACTGCATTAGCGATTCTTTTGTAAACTACAATAAAGCAGAAACTACTGAATGTGACTGAATTCACCTACCCCATCAACATAATTTATCAGCTCAACTACCTCCTTTTGCACTGCTGCAGAATCAGATTTCTTCAGCAAAAACTGTAAAATATCAAAGGAAAATGTCAGAGAAAAGTTTTAATAATTTAATAAACTGTATTTAGCGTTGGATGAAAAAATTACCCTGTTGTTATCCACAACCATAAATAATTCCACATAGCTTTTCTGTGGCAAGACAGCTCTCTTCTTCTGCAAATTAGAAAGAACATTAAGTTAAATTTAAAAAAATCAAACTGGTTAGTCATTATGTTATTTTTCTCATAATTTCTATTTCATGTATTTATATTGCAACAATCCATTTTTTAATGTGGCCTGAAAAGTGAATTTGCTTTAGATTTCCACCTAAATATCTACAGGTCAGTAATTCACTTCTGGTCAGATACCGAGATGTACGAGCTGAAAGGCAGCTGTATGTCTTTCACATCATACTCTCTGCTCTTCTGCTAAAGGCTGGCTCGAAGCTATGCTAAATTCCCATGCTGCTGTTCTTGTGTTTCAGGATTTCCTTAGTGGTACTTCCACTAGTTTGGGGTCTGTCAAAATGAAGGCAACAAGGAAGTGGCCAGCCAGGCCAAACCCACCTAGAATGAAACCATGGCAAAGCAAGAGCTCTGTAGACTCCTGGCTGCTGGAACAGCCTGAGGAAAGGGGTTGGACCACAGCCCTCGAGAAAGGAGCAGAAATGTATTTACCCTCAAAAGTTTTTCCCCGCTAGAGGTACTGTTTGACAAAAATGCATATTTCACAGAATGCTTCACAAACGTCTTTTCACGCTGAAGACTGTCGTTCAGCACACCACATCGGAAAGGGATATGCTGCATATCTTCTAACTGGTAAAAAACATGTTCAAATGTGCTGGACGTGTTGAGTGGCTCCATTCCATACCATTTGTCACCAATGTAGAGAATTCCTCTAATAACCATAAAAGAATGAAAAATTATTCCACAATTTTCCCTCACAATTATGACGAGGTAAGTGAATGACAGCTGAATATTTAAAAACTACGACCCTTCATACCACTATGTTGAAATAAATTATTACCTTAAAATAAATTGTCTTAGTGTGGGGGCTAAAGTTTAAACACAGTACACAACAGTATCTCAAAAGACAAAATGGAACTTTTAAAAAATACTCGATCATACACAAGTGTGTGCTCCTCGAGTCATTTAGTAGGAAAGCCTAATCATTACTGAATGAATGCAAGTGGATCGTGGACACAAGAGCTGAAGCAAAGGGCTATTTTGGTCCTTATCTCTCGTCTCACTTCTAGCTCCATGCAGCTAAAGTAATTTAGCTTTTCTGAAAAACATACCTGGCTAAAATCGCCAGTGTGTTTGAGGGCAACAGCGGTATTGCACTACCGAGTGCAGCTAAGTAAAAAGATTTTGCGTTTGCGCACTACTCAGAAACACCTGGTTCATGCCCATTTGCTGTAAGAGAATCTTTCAGAAGCTAGTATCTTGCTCTCCAGAATCTTAAAACTATATTTAGAAAATAAATTCTCTAGTTACCAGCTTGTGAAAGAAAATCTTCCAAAAACATGTGTTCAAGGTAACTGAAGGGGTTGTTTGCAGAACACCCGAAATGAAATCTCTGTTCTACTTAGTGAGGTCAAATCTTACCTGAAATGCCAGTATGCTGATCATTTGCCAGGAAATGCCACTGTTTATTGTGAGTGGCAGCTCATTTTGATACTACACAAAAAAGATATTTAGGTGAACTTTCACATTTGGCCCTTCCTGCCTGTCAAAAAGACATGAAACTGAACAAGGCTTCTAGAACCTACAAGTACATCCAAAGCCCAGCTGAACAGCGCAGCTAAATGAGCCCAGGGGAGCAGTGACACGCTCTATGCTCACGCTCGATGCTTGCACAATTTGCTGCGCGAGCCATTTCATTTTGTCAACTTACATGGACAGATTCTGCACAGAGAACTTGAGAGAACACCACTGCCGTTTATAAATTAATTTGGGCCTTTTACATATCTCAGATTAACATAATTTTATTGTATTTGAAACACTTCCATTGTTTGGAAAGCCAAATTCTGAATGCAGCACATCAACAGTATCTGTGCAGCAGGACAGATACACCAGATAAATACGTTAAGGTGCTGATATACAGAAAATATTTGCAGGATAGGACAGTGTTTTCTTTCCAGCTGTATGATGAATAGCAACAGCAGATGTTTTTTTACTGTTTTTCTGTGGTATTGCACAATTAATTATCTTAAAGTAACAAGTAAGTGGTAATACCTAAGGCCATCACACGTGCTAAGAGCAAGCGTTGAGTCAGCAACTCCTTCAACAGTGCCGTGATAATAACAGTGTGTCTGAAATGCAACAAAACCTTAAATCAGTTAAACCAGAAATTAATGACAAAATAAGGTTTTTGTTTCTAAATGAAAGAACCAAATTTATTAAGGCCAGCTTTTGCAAATTGACAGACTACCCTATTCTGAAAGTAATCCCAGCCTTCTTGGAGTAAAACATGACATGACACGGGTAAGTATAATATCATTTAATCTGTTGGTTCTAAAAAACAGCTAGCTTTTCAGTTTAGCCCATCACCATCTTTTAGTAAAAGCTGTGTATTTGTGTTGTTTGTCCTGTCTTAAACAGATTCCTCCCAAAGGCTGACCTGAGAAGCTCTCTCACGCATGAAGCACCCAATTAATTTTTACTGGGCTCACATGCTTGATGTTGAAATTAAATGTAAAAGCATGCTTAAGGCTTGCTTGATTTAGGGCCTCAAAACTATAGCTTTGATGTTGTCATTGCACTTTTAATTGTATACTATGCAATGGCAACATAATCAGCTAGCTCAAATTCAATCTTGGCATAAATTTCTAGAGTCTCATATCTTGGAAAATGTGATGCTGTATCATCATACACAGTATGGAGAGAAGCAGATTCCCTCATAAGATGTAAAGTGTTATGTTTTGTACCAACAAGAACTGTTAAAACTTAAATATCACAAATGTGAACACTCAGGAAAGCTTATTTTCAGCAAATATATTTTTATTCTCCAGATACTTTATGTGCATGACTTGTATTTTACCCTCCGCTGCCAAAAATGTGATCAATTTTCACTGTCCTATCATAGAGATATGAAGACACCCAGAGTGAATGGTTGCGTGCGTTCGTTTTCGCTTTGAAAATACATTTAGATGCATGTACTTCCTCGCTGTAGTCCTCAGTTCTAACAAGTTGTTAACGTGGCCTTCCGTTCATAAGGCTTGGCTTCCCCAGGTTGAGGAAACTCTTACACAAAAGGGAAACTTAATAAAGTACTATACCTTGATTTTTGATTGTGCAGCCTCCAGTTTCCCATTTTTCCCATATGTATATACTCTAAAGTCTTCACTAACAAGCTTTCTGGAAGCAAAAATAAACCACTGCTCTTTAACAGTCTATAAAGCAAGATACAAATCTAGAATCATAATAAGCACTACATTCTGCTAGTAGCACACTCATGCTAAATTATTATTAAAATCCATATATATGAAACAAAATACCTTAAACATGAGATACATTATTTGGGAAATAGGTTATTTTAAAATATTTTAACCCAAACACCTACGGCGTAGGATTTGAGCAGACTATGTTAAATCAGGGGCTAGACTCAGGAACGAGGAACAACAAAAACAAACAAATTTCTCCAAGTACAACTCCCAGTCCCAGGCTAATAAAGAGCTAACGTTAAACTGAATTCTAATTTTCCACAATGATTTTCCAAAGTCCACTATCTTGTGGTGCTAATAAAAATTAATTAAAACAAAATTCTGCAAAATTAAAAAAATCCTTTCTATTTGCATAAAGCAACCATTATTTATCACAACTTTTTGCATTACTACAATCTGACAGTTAAAAGGCTTCTTCCAAACATTTTTCAGTATAAAAAAATTTTTCAATATCAAACTAAATCCCAAAATGGAATGATTCCTTAATACACTGTATCACATACTTATTTTTCTTTAGCTTTAGGAGGTATGTTCCATTTTTGGTTTTAATTAAATAAGAAAGTTTGTCATCTGAATGCTCCTGGAAATAGAACAAAAAATATCAATTAATACAATGATTTTCTACCTGGGTGTATGAGTTCCATGTTTTCTTTGACAACAGAGATGTATATGTTTTAAGTATATAACAGATTCAAAAAACATGCATTCCTAAAACCTCCTACTTTCTATATTTCAAAGTTTCACTATTACACTCTGCATTCTTTCCTATTGAAATTTTAAATTCTATCTAAGCTATAAAATTCCATGTAGAAATAAAATGAAAGAATAAACAAACCACACGAGAAATTAAAGGTGTCTACCATTAGAGATGTATAGAGGGAATGTAAAATATATAGTGCCTACAGAAAAAAAAGAAAAAATAAAACTTACAGTATTAACAGAAAAAAGAAATATTAGTAAAGCTAAATCTAGACTGTCCCTATAGATAAGAAAGAAAAAAGAAAACCAATATCAATCACAGAAAAAAGAAATATTAGTAAAGCTAAATCTAGACTCCCATGCTTTGGTTCTATAGACGCAGGAAGAGATGATCCTAAGAAACTAGTGGGGAGGAAGCAATTGCAACTAGGATAAAGGCAGTCTGATTCAGCTCCCCAGCCTGGGCACAGCTGAAGTATGTTGCCAAACTACCATATAATGGTTTTTGACACTCCTTGCAAATCAGAGCAGCCGGAAGAACGACCCACAGATTCTTCTTCTGATAATCAGTATGTACAAAGATGACTAACGCTATTTCATTATCAGTTATTTCGGTAATTGAACTCTGTATCTGGCACAAAGGTAAATTACCAGAACTGAAGGCTTAGATCTTACTCTCTTTGCTCATTCATTTTACCTGTGCAACTCTATGGGGCCACTTGTACAAAACAAGTGTCAGACCTTTAGGTGCTGGAAAGTGAAATCCTATGTTTATGCAAAGAGCAAAGACTAGGTACAATGTGCAAAAGAAAAGATACAGTATGGATGTTAGTTCAAGTTTGAGTGCAACATCCAATGCGACTTGGAGGAAACGGCAATATTCTTCATGTTCCTTCCCCCTTCTGTCTTATAAGGCTGTTAACAGGACTAGAAGTTTGAAAGGCACTGAGAGTACAATGAGTTTTGTGTACTTTGCGTGTGTGCCTGCGTGTGTGTAATATAGGACAACACTGTGAAAAACAACAATAGCAGAAGAAATATTTACATAGAGCAACAAACCTCATGAAAAAATGGGTGACGGTTCTCTCTGCCTGTCAGGCTTTGAGGAATAATTATTTCTAATGTAGAAAGGCTGGATGTCTGCTCAGAAGAAACACCTAAAAATAAAGTTTGAAATTTCTAAAGAATCAGAAAGGATAAGTAATACATCAGACTAGTATCCGCACAGTGCTGGCCAGATAATTCTGATCAGACCATAAATCAGGAAGGAGTAATTTCACCAGTACGGGTCCCGACTGCCCGTACTCAGTTTGGTCTATTCTAGCTCTGCCAGGGTTCTTGGATTATGCTGGTAAAGTCATAGAAATCAACATCGGCCAAAGTACTGCTCATTTCTTGAGTGTTTAAATACATGTGGCCTCATGCTCTGCAGAAATGCTGTATGTTTTGACCGTGTTCAAAGTTAATGATAACACCACTCCACAGACTGCAAATTCAAGCAAGAGTTTTTTAAACTGAGTATCCAAAAGTAGCTGACAATCTTGGGATTAACTCTTGATCTTAGTTACTTACCTTTTAAATTGAGGTAATAAGTCAAATGCTGGTCTTTCTTTCATAGTGGCATTATCGAAACAAATTAACTATTGTTTGTTAACAAAAAAAAAGGCAACCAATATGACAGGAACAGCATAGAAAAACCCAAGAAGACATTTTTAAAAACTCTCTGGTATTCAGTGCCTACTTAGAGATGAAGAAGTAGTTTAGGAATGCTCAAATTTATTTAAAAAGCGGTAACTTCTCATTCATTGGTTAAAGCTGGGTTCTTCTGGGTAATACTCTATGCAAGCACAGAAATAAAAAGTATCAAATTACATAAACGCAATCTTAATTCTGACATTTTATAACCTGGATTATTAATTTTGTAACTTTGTCCATCCTTTTTTTCTTTTTTAAATCATTTTTTTCTAAGGCCTACCCTTTTAACCTGACGTACCACAGAAAATTTATGTAGCTACCTTCTCTGTCCACCTGTCTGTCCCTTCCCAGTAACTTCTGAAGCAGCTGTCAAGTTTAAATCAACTATGCAAGAGATATTAATGTCTCAGAGAGAACAAAGTTCCTTCCAGTTTTGTGAAATCACCTCCGAGGGCTGATCTGTACATCTGTAGCAGGGCTCTCTCTCTAGGAGTGGCTGATGGAAGCACGGTACAACTATTTTAGATGGGGACCTTAAGGTGGATCCGACTTTGCCGGGAAGTTTCAAAACAACTTATTAGGCAGCAGGAGAGCGCTGTGTCTCCAGAAGAATAAAGCCAGTCTCAGTACACCGGGGAATGTTTTCCACTGGTTACAGAGCCATTTGCTGTGGCTCTCTCCCTATCTACTGCTAATTCCTGCACTTGCTCACCTTCTCCCTCCTGCTCGTATCTCTACTTCCTACTATCCCTTCCCAGGTTAAATCAAATCCCTCTTTAATCCTTTCCTTCTGCTTACACCCCTTCACTAGCATCCCCTTCTGTACTGGTCTGAATCTGGAACCCACGTAGCTCTCCTCACCGCTTAGTCCTGCCACCTGCTGCGTTTGCAACCATCGCGCCACCTCCTGCCGTTGTCCGGGCGCAGCGGTCTCAGCCCAACGCTGCATCTCTGTTGTTCCAGCCCTTGGCTCTCAGTATTTACTTTTGACTTAGTTTTTTATCCTCAAAACACTTTATTAACTAAATCAAACAATCCACTTCAGTTTCACGAATGAAGCGTACACTGAACTAACGGTGGAAATGTGGTTCTAACAATTACACTTCGACACCTGAGATGGGGAAGCTGCCAGTAACGCTAGTTCTCAAAATACCACTTTCCAACAAATACTTCAGATATTACATCTGATCTAAATCTAACAGCAGAAGCCAAATCATAATTGGAAATGAACTAACAAGGAGAGAAAACAAAGTACAATAAAGAGAGGTAATTTTCCTCGTATTACAGAAGACCCAAGCATTTCTCTCCAGTCTTCACCATAGCTGAGAGACAGTAACTGCAGTGGTCGCAACCGGCGTTCGGTACAGAAGAGGATGTATTCCCAGACACCTATTGCATAGGGAAAAACCCCACAAACAACAAAACCTATAAAAACATACATCTTTTCCAGATGCATTTTTCCCAGATAAGATTTTCTCAGCTAAGGGTCTGTTTAATAGCCTTTCTAATAACTACCGAGAGTCCTGACTCGGTTTGAAACTTGTCCATATGCAAGACCAGGACCAAAGGGCACAAGAAGACTTGTAGAAACTTTCTGACTATGTAACAAGAACTAAAAACTTACCTTTTATCCAAAAAGGTTTTCCAGTTAAAGTTAGTCCAAAAGCAAACAAAAACAGGCTGTGTTTTAACATGACTAGATTTCCTGGAGAAACTACTACAGTATCCAAGCAAACACTGCGTATCTGGCTCTTAGTTTCTCCATACAGAAGAACCAGAAGACCAAGAACCACCTGCCCAGAAGGCAAACAATAGAAAAAACAGTGATACTTCACCTCTGCTGAGGGAAGGGGAAGTAAAATTTCACCCTTTGAGCTTGGCAAAAAAAAAAAAAGCAAAAAAACTGGTTAGACAGCTTAATGCAAACAAAAAGCAGCACATTCTGAAACGCTGGTTGGAGAAAGTCAGCCAAATCATGGCAGGACCAAACTGGTTTCTTCTAAAAGACTGAGACTGATAATGCAGCAAGATTATAAGGGATAAGAAACATAAAATATTGCTACCAGCAAATAACGTAAGATAATTAATACTGACTATTTTCAGCTCCCAAAAAAAAAACCCTACTATAAAAAAAATCTACTCTTTGTAATTCCAGCTCATTGTTTTCTATTTTTTATATTTACTTCAAAAATATGTAAAAAATACATATGAAACCATGGAAATCCCATAAACATATATAACTCAGGGATTTTACTCAGGCCATTGTACATTAAAGATAATTCCCATCGAAAGTCTTAATTTATCACTCCTCAAAGAGCAGAATAACCCTCTGAAGCACCAGGCAGCACGTTGCCATCAAATGTAAAAAATGAATGTTTTCAAAACTGGACGAATTGACATCACATTTTGGAAACATCAAGCACATTTTAGGAACTCAAACAGGAGAACCACGCAACACAGTCTTCCTGCTCCATTTTTTTTAATTAAAAACACAGAGATTTTCAATTTTACAAGGGATCCTGGCAGATATTCATTTTTTCTCCGGCTGCCGGTGAACCACATAAACCAGTTTCTCGCCCGAGTCCGCTGCTCCCGACAGTCACGTCCCGGCCGCCGCGGGAGGAGAAACTCTCACTCCTCCCCCCAGGAACTAGGATCCGACTGAAAGGCACATGAAACTGATTTCATACTTGTAGTCTCTTCTCTGAGTGATACACTGCCAGCACCCCCAGCACGGGAGACCAAATCACGCTCGTCCAAAATCTACCGTTTACTGCGACACCCGCTTCCCGCC